TTCGGTGGGAAGGTAACAGCGTTCCGTGCACCTTGGTGTTTAGTCATGCCGGCCACATGACCACGGAAACGTCTTCAGACAGCGCTGGCTCTTCGGCTTTGAAACGGAGATGAGCACCGCAACCCTAGAGTCGGATTCGACTGGCTTTCGAGCAAGGGAACCTTTACCTTTACCTTTAACAACAGGGACTTAGTCTTTAGTATGTGCACAAAAGATTGCAGTGGGTGATTTTTAAAAAGCTATGGAGTCTTCGGATCCCTCTGGAATCGAAAGAAGAGGCGATTATAATTTCAGTGAAAATAAAAAATGAGTCTTGTGGCACTAACAGGTTTATGGTGTCATAAGCACTGGTGGACCAGAGACCACGTTATCAGATGAAGTTCGAGGAGCAACTCATCCACTCCAAAGCAGCCCTAAAGAATTCAGTTGCACTTCAATATCACTTGTTGTTGTTCAGTCGCACAGTCGAGTCCGACTCTTCGCTCACTAGTACACAGTAAATGGATAGCAGATAACATCTGTACACGAGTCATCCCACACTGCGCGTCATAGCAGCAAGAGGAAGGCGGAGCTTGGACAAAGAGGCGAAAGCATCGGGTGATTCTGTCGTGCGTGCCTCCGTGTTTTGTCTTTGTAGCATGAAATGCTAAACAATTCCGGTTGTCAGTTGAACGCGCCGGGCAGCCCATTAAAAAAAAATTGGAACAAGTGTTTTGTGGCATCTTGAAGACTAACTACATTTTATTTCAGCTACAGCTGTCGTGTGTTAGACCTCACTTCATCAACTTATGAAATTAATAGGAGAAGTATACGAAGAAACAGAGGTGCACTATACTGACAGAGCCGCTATGCCTTACGCGCCTGCCACGCATAAGGCGACAGTCAAATGGGTGCCGCAGGTGAAGTCAGTATCTCAGCGTTCTCCTGCCTCTGAGTGATTCGGGCTAGACTCTCAGATTTGTTTTTAGAAGTACCCGCCTCGGTTACATCTCTATGATTTGGCCTAGCGGGGCCTCCAGAATTTCCGGTGGCTGTATGCGTCATATCCGGACGATTCTGAGATGCCGGTAAGAAAAGATTTCACCGGGAAAGGCAGAAAAACGAGGGAGCTTATCCTTCTCATTCCCGCTCGGGCAGTGAAGGGAAGGTGTTGCGGCGCGGGGGTTGGTCTCATAGCTCCGCCCGTCTCCTGTAGTCCCTGTGTCCAGTCCATAGGAGGAGGCTCCGCTCTCCTTGTCGTGGGAGTGGCCTGGCTTTTGCCGTGGCCTTGTCGTAGAGCAGTCGATATGGAGCAGGACGCTATTCACCCCTGCAGGCCTCTTGTCCAGACGAGTTTGCCTGCCTGTCTCCTGCTGCTGCTGGTGTAGTTCATTCTGTTCCTGGGGTCAGCATATAAAGCCGATTGCCTGCCCTTCGGCTGGCCTGCTTGCTTAGCCAGTGGAGCTTCGCTGCTTGTCTAGGAAGGGTGGGTGGGTGGCTGATTTCATCTCTCCCCCCTCCCCAAGTCTGGACTAACTACGGCTTTTGCAGCAGTTGCTTTGGACACTGAAGTCGCTGAAGTGTCTTCCTTTAAATATAAGTAGACCTGCAGAGCAGGTTAGTGTTGATGTCCTTGTTTGTCCTCCATTTAGACAGTGGCCTGGATCCTGTCACTTCACTGTGAAGTCTGAAGACTTTCTCCGGCCTATGGTAGGATACTGCCTACGGTCCTCAAAGTGCATAATTTTGTAGTTTATATAAGTCAAACGGTAGATTTCTGACTTAAATCTAAATGTTGATGGTGAGAGTGATAGGAGAGGCAGTGGTACCAATGAGGAACATAAAAGTTGGACCAGAACCAATGGATTGAAATTAAATAAAAAGACCTTTTAGCTAAACATTAGGAAGAACTTCCTGGCAAAGTGGTTCCTCAGTGGAAAAGGCTTCCTCTGGGCATAGAGTAGGGGTCACTGGGGGACTGTGGGGGAGGTAGCTTTGAATTTCCTGCATTGTGCAAGGGGTTGGACTAGATGATCCTTGCGGTCCTTTCCATCTCTGTGTTTCTATGAGGAAATGCAGTTACATGGAAACTTCCTTTCACTTGGAGATTGGAATTAAAAGTTATGCTTATGCAAGTAGGAACTGAAAAATAATATGTATATGTTGTCGAAGGCTTTCGTGGCTGGAGTTCATTAGTTGTTGTAGATTTTCTGGGCTGTATGGCCGTGGTCTTGGCATTGTAGGACCTGACGTTTCACCAGCAGCTGTGACTGGCATCCTCAGAGGAATAACACAGAAAGATGGAGAAGAAAAATGGTAGGCAGGTAATTTATATCTACTCAGGAAGGTGAGGTAGGGCTGAGTCATCTTGTAGGAGTTCCCCAGGCTGCGACATGCTAATGGAGGAACTTTCCTGAGGAGGTTCTTTTGCATATGGATTGGCTGTTGAAATTCTAATCTTACCTGTAATGCTATTGTAAGACGTGGAGCATTTTGTGTTTTTCAGGAAACCATGCCCTTTTTTCCTCTCTTCTTGCCTGTTAAAATTGTGTTTATGTTTATGAATTTCAATGGCTTCCCTGTGTAATCTGACATGGTAATTGGATGTGTTGCCCAGCCTTTCGGTGTTTTGGAATAAGATACTGCCTGTTTGAGTTAGGCTATGTTCAGCCACTACTGATTTTTCAGGTTAGCCCGGTCTGCAGTGTCTTTCATGTCCTTTTATTCTGGTCTGCAGTGTCTTTCATGTCCTTTTACGCTGTGTGGTCCTGATGTAAACCTGTCCAAAACTGCAGGGTATGTGGTATACTCCTGCAGAAGTGAGAGGGTTTCTTCTGTCTTTTGCCAATCGTGGCATCTGTTATATTTTTTTCTGGTGGGCCTGAATACTGTTTGTAGGTTGTGTTTTTTCATCGGCAAAAGACAGAAGAGACCCCTTCCTCTCCCCACAACAGACACCTTGTGAGGTAGGTGGGACTGAGAGACTTCTGAGAAAACAGTAACTGGCCCAAGGTCACCCAGCAGGCTTAATGAGGAGGAGTGGGAGTCAAATGGAGTGATCCAGATTAGTATCCACCATTCTTAGCCTTTGTACTATGCTGGCTCTCAAGAGGACAGTGGGAGGGAGGACAGTGACAACAGAGAATTCAGGTTAAACCACTGTATTGGGCATTGTATTTTGTGAGTTTAATATCTAGTCACTTTCATTTCTGTTCTCCTTCAGATTAAATGGAATAGCTCTCTACTACAGCTTCTCCCAAGAAGATCCTCACAGAATTGTGGGACTGAAATATGCGCATAATCATAGAACAGAGTTCACTTTGAACTTTAAGCTTTGTGCCTTACCCAGGTCTGCTTTGGAAATCGGAAACTTGAATCAATGTTATCGGATGAGTTAGAGTCTAAACCAGAGGTAGGTAATGGCTTGATGCATTTGTTTTGTTTATCAGTCTGTGCTGTAAATATTATCATTTGTGCAGTTAGCATATGGCTGTCACAAACAAGTAACTTTTTCATTAAGTCTCCGAAGTTACTCAACTGGCCTGCAACCAGGAGTTCTCCTTTTCAAAACCCACCACCTGTACCTGTAGGTTACTCTTAGAATTAAAGCTCTTGATAGTTGCCTGCTGTAGGGTTTCCTAGATCCTGTGACATCAGAGCAGCTAAGCTCACAGAAACCAGAAGCATTGTGATGCTCTTGGAGACGCTTGCAGCATGAAGACTGATGAAATATAACACCTTAATTTTTACTTACTCTTTGAGACCTGTAGAAGCATTCTTCCACAAGCTCCAAAGGGTATCAAGGAAGCACACATCAGAATTTCCAGAAAGTTTAGAGGTAACAGAATTCAAAGTTAATGAGATTAAATTCCTGGGTCTGGACAAGTCTGATGCATATACTTATTTCCAGTTTAATATCTGTTTTTCATTTATTTGGCTTCTGCTCACACTGAATGCTTCCCATTATGTACTTTCATTTGGAGATCCATTTTTACCTAGTGTGTACTATTGCATATTGGCTAGCCAGGCTGCCAAGATGGCAGACAGCCCAGCGTACCATTGGATGTACAAAGGTCCTAGCAAGTGATTTTTATCCCTGTATTAAAATCCAAACAGAAAGTAAAGTGGTAAAAGCTATCAGAAGGCTACAACATGTTCCTCAAAATTAAACAAATACTGATTTTATTGCCAAATGCATCTCAAAGGAAGACAGCTTTCCTGGCTTGGCTAATGATTGGATATGGCCATTATTAATTAGTATCTGCTAGGAGGACAAGTGCCCATCCATAGTGTGTTCACTTTGAGCTGCATGCACACTCTGTATCTATTTCTAAGGGCTATCAGCTGGTGAAGCTCTTTAAAAGATGTAAAAGTGATGGTCTAGTAGCCTCTGAAACTTAACTTTTTTAAAGTGATAGCACAAATATGATTACTTATTGTGAAACTACCATACATATGGTGCAATGTCTCCTGGATGCTGCTGTACGTATAAGTCCATAAAATAATCTAATCTAAAGTCCGTGAGAAGACTACTGTCCTAAGTGATGCATTTGGATTGTGTTTTATACTTTACTTTACAGCTCAATATATATATTACTAGGGATGGACATGGTCCAGAAAAAGGATGGTCCATGGAGTTTACGGACCCCCGGGCCACGAACTTCCATGTTAACGGACCAGACCGTGGTCCGTTTGGACCGTGCCACTTAAATTTTAAATGGCTTTTGAAAAGCCACCAGGTGTACGAGTGACGGCTGAGTGGTGAGTTCATGCACTTCTGGGTGGGTGAAGTTGCCACTTGGTGCGGCTTTGCGAAACCTGTCCAGCATGCAAGTGAAGGCCAAGTGGGTGAACTCACCACTCGGCCTTCACTCACGCACTGTGCGTTTTGCAAAGCTCTCTTGCATGAGTGAAGGTTGAGCAGTGAGTTTACCCACCTGGAAATGGGTGAACTCACCACTTGGCTTTCACTCTTACGATGCACAGCTTTGCAAAAACCATTGAAAGGATCTCTCAGATCTCAGCACTCTTAACCACTATACCACACTGCCGCTCTAGCCATCTCCCTTCTCTTTTCATCACTTGCAGACCTTCCGTAAACCAAAGGGCTTCCTGGGCTCTAACACCTGAGAGGGCACCTGGGAGCAATCATAACAACTGCTTGGGTCATTTCCTCATCAACATTTTGGTTGATTTCTGACAGAAAACTGTCTCAAAGACTAGTTCCAAGTCTTCTTTATCTAGAACCTCTTGCAGTTAAGGCAAAAAAATTAATACTTGAAGTTCTTGAAGTTGTGGAAGGAGTGGGAGAGAACTGACAAAATGGCTATGCAGCAGCTCTAGTTATCTGCTATTGACTTAAAACATTTGCTTATTTTCCAGCTGCTGGTTCAGTTTGTTCAGAACACATCTATTCCACTAGGACAAGGGCTTGTGGAACCGGAACATAAAAATATTACCTGTCTCTCTCTCCTTCCAGTTACTGAATCCCCAGAATGCAACAGGTTAATGTTGCCAGGTAAAATTTTAAGCTGCTAATTTTAGGAAAGCTCTTGAGATTAATAGGCATGAGACAGTGTTTAAGATTGCCAATGTTACAATATTGCAATATTGCTGAAGTGTTAGTTTTAGATATAGAATATTCATTCTCTATTTTATAGTGCTGTTAAACGGCAGCTATCCTTAGATGTCGTGAGATACAAATCTAATAGAGAATTCTCTATCGAATAAAGCTAACAGCTTCTTACAGTATTCATTTTCTGTAATGTTTAAATGAGCTGGATGGTCTCTCAAATATTAAAGAAGCGTTTGATTCTCTTCATTAGATGACTCTCCAGGTCATGCTAGCCCTTCAAAGGATGTTTCCTCTTCTGCTGTCTTGCGAAGTCTCCAGGTGAATGTTGGCCCTGATGGTGAGGAGACAAGGGCAGAAACTGTGCAGAAACCATCTGAGCTTCTGCCAAGTCCCGACACTTCTAGTTTATTGCAAGACCTCCAACCTAGTGATAGCACTTCCTTTATCCTCCTCAATTTAACGCGAACAGGTAACTTTTATTCAACTGCAGCATCTAATTAGATTCTTAAAATGGCAAGAGATGCCTGTCCATGTGAGTTCACGATGATCTGTTTTCAAAAGCACAGAAAGTTGATCACTGCTGATTTCAAGCAGGGGTTGTGTAACAGCTCTTTCCAGTCCAGTGGCTGGAAGTGTTATTGCAGATGTTGTAAGAGGCAACCGTTCTCTCTTCTCAGTGTGATGAAACTGCTTCTCTTCTAGGCATTGGCTCACCATCAGAGCACTTGGTGTTTGTCCAAGATGAAGCAGAGGATTCTGGGAATGACTTCTTCTCCAATGATAGCACAGACAGCAGTACCCCATGGTTTTTACGAGTGCAGGAACTGGCCCATGACAGTTTGATTGCTGCCACTCGAGCCCAGCTCGCCAAGAATGCCAAAGCAAGCAATAATGGTAAGGAGGCTTCTGCTTTCAAGGCAGCACATCACTTTCATCAGTTAAAATTTTCAGGAGATCTTATATGCCTTTTGTACATAAAGATTTTTTCATCTCTTGAGATTGAGGAGAAATAACCTTATTCTGACTATATCTTGCTGATACGATTTAATAAAGTCACTTCAGTTGCAAGGAGCTACTAACCCTCTGACATTCTGTCAGTTTATGCTGAGCTGAGGACCAACATAAAGCAAGTGTCCACTAACTACTTATACCTAGACGCAGTCCACTTGTTTGGTTGTGCAGTCTTTCCATCTGGCTTAGTAACAAAAGCAGATACTGCTTCAGGTGACCTCTTGCCCGTAATGGCTCCTGAGCTCTGTCAAGCCCTGAGGCTTTGCAGTATATGCCTGCTGCTCACAGTCAAAGCAGATGCAATAGCATGTGGTCAGGCTGCAAATAGGTTTGTGGGGAGAAATGGAGTATCATGGGTTTGCAGCTCATGCCTGGGAGTTGTTTGGACTGCTTTGCCTGGTAGTTGCTGCTGGACTGTGTAGCTCACTTAAAGCCGGAGAAGCTCAGCAATTGCTGGTGCTAAGGTCTCTGATAGCATGGTGGGAAATTACATGTACGTAGCACACTGATATTACAGACTGCCTTCTCCACAGTACGAATACAAGCAAGTTTAATCCTCTGAGTGAGCGGACCAATCAGGCAGTCCTTGAAGTAGTGCTGAGCCAACATGTGTGTCATGTCTTTTGCACTTGTTTGCTGAAGGATGTGAAACTGTTCACAAGGGAGTGGGTTTTTGGGGAGGGAAGAGGCAATGTATCCCCATTGATTAAGTAATTGGGCTGGCGTTCCACCTTGATCCAGTTGGATGTGGTTAGCTAGTTGAGGCAGAATGTGCATTTGTAGTGCATTGAAAATAGTGTTGTGCAGACATTCTTAATTGTATTGTATTCCTTTCAAAGGAATGTGTGTCTGGTTACTCATCCTTGTCTGGTTCCAGTTAGTCATGCTAACTCCATACAACTAGAGCTGAAGAAGGATGAAATTCTTGCTATGCAGTGTTGGTAGGCATTGAAACGACCAGCATAGTGCCACAGGAAGGGAATAGCAGCTTAATTGCTTAGATGTGCTTTCCCTTCCCACCCCTGATACAGGAGGACAATGAGAGATGTTTGCTGGTCATCAGTGATGATGGCATCATGATCACTGAGGGTCCCTGATTAGCAGATGATGTGTCATAAAGAAGCCCTTTCGTGTACATAAACAATGGCATCCAAGGGGCGTAGATAAGAGGAACAAGAACTTTGAAACCATGGGAAAGGCAAAGGATTTTTATGAATACATCTGGCCCCATTTCCAAAACAGAACTTCCACATTGAGAAGTGAACCTCATGAAAATTCAGCACAGCACTAACAAAGTATAGAGGAGATCAGCGTCTGCTGTATAGGGCTGGTTATATGCAATACTCAAATGTCCAGTTTATAGGTTTTTATCTTATTAAGTTGTTTTCTGCTGCTAGGCGTCTGTCACCTCTGCACCTACTTTTTTCTTTTCCACCCCCATTCCAGGTGAAAATGTTCACGTTTGCTCAGGAGACCCCCAACTGAAAGAATCCAGTCCTATCCCTCACCTGCCCCGTGTGGAGAAACAACTGAAGTGCACAGTCGAGGGCTGTGACAGGACATTTGTGTGGCCGGCCCACTTCAGATATCACCTAAAAACCCACAGGTGTATAGACTTGCTATTGCTGTGACTTTGCAGAGCTCTGCAGACTGTATAGGTATTTATGCAGTACATTATTGGTTCCCACTCTGGAACACTTCAGCGTTCAAATACAAGGAATAAATAACAAAATGACCTCTCCCCCTTCTTGTTTGAATTCAAGGCTTGACTAGAGTGTCTCTATATCATGTGAGCCTTTACAGCATCTTTTAATTCTGTTTTGTCTTGGTTAAAATTACATTGACTTCATTCACTATGTATAATAGTTTAGATGGGATCCAGTGATAACATTATAATAGTGCTGGCTTTAGATGGCTACACCAGCCAACATGATCACTAAATTGCTGCTTGGCTGATGGGTAATTCATACTCCCTTGTTTTGTGTATATCGTTATGTGTTGCCTTTACATTTTCATTATGGTAGAACTCATTTCCAGTTATGAGATGTTAAAGCCATCTCTAACAAAAGATGTTGAAATATAACCTCAGTCTAAATCAATTCACATTAAAACAAATCAGGCTAAAGTTTTGACCATGTCGATTTGCTGCTCTTTGGTCTTCTCCCTGCTACCATTTCTACTTGCGATTACACCCCCCCCCCCAAGTTTGCATTACAGAAAGCTCTTACTTAACAAAGGACAGCATGCTTCTACCAATGTTTGTAATGCTGGCATGAAACCTATTTTGAGTTCCCAGGAATGACCGTTCCTTTATTTGTCCTGCAAAAGATTGTGGGAAAAGTTTCTATGTACTGCAGAGGTTGAAGGTGCATATGAGAACGCACAATGGCGAGAAGCCATTCGTCTGTACTGAGCTAGGCTGTGGGAAACAGTTCACAACAGCTGGGAATCTGAAGAACCATCTGAGGATTCACACTGGTGTGTACTCCTGTTTTGTTTAATCGTACCACTACAGCTGTATACCACAGATCTGCAATGAATTTGTGTGTGTATATATATAAAGATATATATCTCCTATACATTCTTAGCTGCAAAACTTGAGGTGGTTTACAAATATCTGCATTCAAACCAATGGCAGTAAGATCATCAGCAGGGCTTCTTAAGTCTGTCTCAACTGATGGGCAGATTTATGTGGGAGAAGACTGTCCTTCAGGTCAGAGACCATATTAAGCTTATGAGGCAATAGGTAGCATTTTAAATTGCACTTGGAAGTAACCTAGGAGCCATTGCAACTGTGTTAAAACTAGTAAAACAACCCTGTTTGTTGCAATCCAGGGGAAAAACCCTTCTTGTGTGATGCTCAGGGGTGTGGTCGTTCCTTTGCTGAATACTCCAGCCTTCGGAAACACCTGGTTGTCCACTCAGGTACGGATCATGTCATAATGCCTGTCTTAGAGATGACTAAATGTACCTTGCTTTTTTTGCTTTGCTCATTTGCCTTCTTGCCTTCTTAAGACTCCATTCTGATGTGGGCCAACAACTTCTCCTCAGTGCATAAGACTGTGGGCCAAATTTATTTATATTATTTATAGCCTGACTTTCTCACTGAGACTCACGGCAGATAATGTAAGTCAATGCAATCAATAGGGTGAAACATCTAACAGGCAATGTAGTATGGCTAGGACTGTAGAAATCTGAAGCAAAGCATTAATATTTAACAAGACATGTTAAACACTACAGAAAATGCAGTGAGCCAGATAATCCACATAGCAACAGATATATACTGTACATGATAGTATAGTCCATAGTTTCCTTTTCTTAAAGCATCTTGCTAAATCTTTCTGTAATAATAAATCTAGCCCTCTTGCCTTTATAAAAGTGCCCTCTTGAATATTCTGTTTTATATAGTTTGCAGAATGTCAGAAGTGTGGGAACCTTCCTGACCTATTCAGGCAGGTTATTCCATGAGGTGGGAGGTGCTACAAAGAATGCACATGTATGGGCAGTTATTGATCTTGTCCATTTGCAAAAAGGCACCCTGCTCAGATATGTGAAGCATGATGGAGCATAGTGGGAGAGGTGGTCCTGGCGATATGAGGATCCAAAGCCATAAAAGGCTTTGTATGAAACAGCCAGCACCCTGAATTGAACCTGGGGACCAATGGACAGCTAATGGAGAAACTGCAGAATGTGCATAATATACATGATCTCCCTAGCTCCTGATAATAACTGAGCTCTGGCGTTCTGCATCAGCTGTAGTACCCAAGTGTAGACTAATGTACACACTAGTCTAGTCTCAATGTTTCTGTGGCATGGTTTCAGGTGACCAGATCGACCAAGTCAAGTTAGTGAGCCATCTTCCTGGGTAAACTAAGTTGGAAGAAAGCATTTTTCACAGCTGCATTAACTTGCTTCTCCACAGGTAATGCTAGTTCCAGTATAACCCTAAGCTCTTAACCAAGCCAGGAAGGGTCCACTGACCTTTATAGGTCAGACTCAGGACTTATTGGACAGAGACTCCACATTGCTTATATTTGCTGGCAGCTTGGTAAAATGTTTCTAGTGCTAAACCACTCAACCAGTCTTTGTAGATGAGAAAAGAGTTCTTCGTAGAAAATGAATGCTTCACATTTAGTAGTCCTTTTTACTTTCTTTTTTTTAAGGAATAAAGCCCCACCAATGCCAAATCTGTGGGAAGACATTTTCTCAGAGTGGTAGTAGGAATGTTCACATGAAGAAACATCATTCTAGAGCTGGAACAGTTAGCAACATTAGCAACACACAGCATGAACCTACAGGTAGGGACTGAATAGACTTGGAAAGACAGCCTGATCTTCAATAGGCTATTAGGATAAGTTGGTGATGGAAACAACTCTTGCTAAGAGGATGTGAAAACAATTCTATGAAGAACCTCTGTGGGTGAAAATGTAAAGTATGAGAAGAGTGTTTGACCAATAAGTGATGAAGATACCTTGGTTTTGAAAAACCATTATAAATTTGATCTGAGGCACAGTCTTTTCCTTACCCAGAGGAGAGGGGATTGTATGTGAGTATAATTTTGTGTACCACCTCCTAATCATAAAGTCCTTTTGTCCTGTAAACTGCCTCAAGAAGTAGGTTAATAGCCAGTAACTCCTTTTAATGCCACCCATCTTGTTCCCTTCTCATCAGATCTCAGGAATACCATTTGGCCTACCAGCACCCACAACTTCATGCTGAAAACAGAGGTCCCACAAGGGCATTAAAATGGGTTGGATCCTACTAGGTTTTTTTTCTGTCCACTGTGGTCATATAATTTCCACCATAGCCCTTTCCAGTGCTCTAAAGGGGCCCCACCTCCCCCTTTCATCAGTAGAAAAGTTAGTGGAATACGGCCTAGTGAATGAGAGAACAATTCTCTGTATAGCTATGATTTCTGTGGTATACAGAAATCCCTTTCTTATTTATGTTATTGCATTTCTATTCAGCCCCTCCCCCGCAAGCAGGCTCAGGGTGGGTTACAATCAAATAAAACCAATTAAAATACAATGCAATAGTCTAATGTAAAATCTAATAACAACTTCCAAGATGGTGATCAATCAACAAAGTTCTCAGATGAGCCTGTATGTACACACAGATGGAACAGAGAGTTGGGCAAGTGGGCATTAAACACCACTAGTAGTATATCTACATGCAGTTAGAAAGACCAAGGTGGATCAGGGGAGGCTAATGTAAATGGACACCCATCATCTCCACCAAAGGCCCGGTGGAACAGCTCCATTTTACAGGCCCTTGTAGAACTGTAATAAGTTCTGCAGAGCCCTGATCTCACCTGGAAGAGTGTTCCACCATGCCAGGGCCAGAGCTGAAAAGGCCCTGGCCCTAGTCAAGGCTAAGCAGATGTCTTTGGGGCCGGGGACCACCAGAAGATGGTGTTCCAAAGAGTGCAAGGCTCTCCAGGGAACATATGGGGAGAGCTGGTTCTTTGTGGTGGAATATACTGAAGGAGTGCTGCAGACTGGAGTAGCTACTCAACTTCTAGCAATGTTGTGTTTTGCCACAGAATCGCTGATGGGCAGTAGTTTGTTGGAAGAATCTGAAGTACCCAGTAAGAACCTGGTGTCCATAAGCTCACCACCTAGCCTTGATGTAGCATCCTTGCACCTGCCTGACACTGAATCGATTATTGGTGTAAAAGAGGGTGAGAACTGTTTCTATCTAATAGAAAGGAGGGTTTATATATGGTGGCAATGGTACCTGGCATTGGTCTGAAATGGGATAATGGCTTGAATCCTATGATTGTGTTCCCCTTGGACTCCTCTATAGCCACTGTGGAAGCTTTCCTCTGCTGCAGCACTCACTTCCTCTGCCACTAGCAAGATCAATGTTTTTCAAGGAGTCCTTACACTCAGAAGTGCTAGCAGAAGAGAGAAGCTGAGGGTTTTTTTTGCATTCCTTTCAGCCAAATCCATTCTGTCCTACAAATTAGATGCCCTTCCCTCCTGAAGGATGGCTGCTGTATTGTGCTTAGCACTGCTCCCTTTGATCTGTAGGACTGGAATTGGAGGTTGTGGCTGCTTTTGTCATTCATTCCTTGCCTGGGATTGTATTTAGGATAGCTGGGAATAAATGGACATAGTAAACTGATTAAAGGAGCGTATAAATTGGATATAAAAGAGAACAGTGGTCTGGTCTCAAGCACAGGCTGCTGACTATCTCAGGTATTAAAATTAAATTATTCTACATCGAGTTAGCTCTCCTTTTTCACCTTGAGCCAAAGGCTTGGGATTTGTAAGAGGTAGGGGAGAACATACATATTGATACATCAGATTTGCTTGTTCATTACTTCTGTGTTGTCCTTAACCCCTAGTTAACCACCATTTTTGACTGCTTACTATCATCAAATGATTTGTATTCCTTTCTAGTGCTGTGAAAGATTTATGGCTTTCCCTGCATTATAACTCTGCCACTCTTCCCTGCATTTGCTGTAAAACATCCATCCTAGTAGCCTTTTCTAGAGATCTAAAGTGAGTTGCCTAGGAAAAATCCCGTAGGAATGATTTCTCAGGTATAACATCTACTTCTGTTTGATTTGTAGAGGTTCTTGTAGAAGCAGCAACAAACTCTCTCCATGCTGCATCTGATGTCGTGTTGCCATCTCACCATCTAATGCCCATGTCGACATCCAGGCATTCTTATGGGGTGTCAGCTTTGCTTCAGTAAATCCACAGGTCAGTTTGAGCAGCACTAATCTGGTCTCTGTAAAATTCAGAGTCCAGGAAGAAAAAAAGGTGCAGTGGGAAAACGTTTTATTTGTAGCTGTAGATCTATAGAGGGATCTATAACTATAAATAAAACGTATTTTCCCACTGCACCTTTTATGTTTCTGGACTCTATATTTGTGTGGCCCTCTTTTGCTCTCCATAGAATTCAGGAAATTTATGGACTGCTTGGCAAGGAGAATTATACTGTGTCTTTAAGTGTGAAATGGCTTTCACTGGAGAATGGAGTTGCTTTCTAAGATGCTAGTGTGTTTACATTTGTCCTTTGAAATAATTACTAGTTGCTCAATAGTTGCTAAATTTAAACTAATACAGTAACCTAAATTTGCTACACTATGAAACAAATTGTTTTTGCATTTTTTGTACATTACACTTTAATCTCATGTTCCCTAAGGAACTCCGTGCTTAACACGCGGTTCTCTCTCCTCCCTTTTGCCCCTGCAACAACCATGTGTGTTTGAGCAAAAGTGACTGGCCCAGGGTTTCCTGATGAACTTCAGAGTAAGGATTTGAACCCCACTATTTTAATTAAAGGAGTTCTTTGACATCCAATTCATTTGAGAAGTACTTAGAGAAGCATGCAGTTGTTTTGACACTGCCATTGAACATACCTATGGATTTTCTTCAGTGTAAATGTGGCTGTTAGCTGGGTACTTTGCTTCTCCTCTGCCAGTATGCTGTTCTCGATACACAGTGGTACTGTAGTTCCTCCTCCTGAGTGGAATTCTTCAAGCACTGTAAGCCGCTACCATTGGGTTCCACATATGGAATAAATGCTAAAAAATCCTTCCATTATATAAAAGGTGTTTTGCTTGCATCCAGTTTCCTGTTTGTGCATGTCATGAACAATGTTTGCAGCTGTATTCTTTTGGTTTGCAACTCTTTTGACACAACTGTTACAGGCGTCTCTTCCCTTCCTGCATTCACTTAGTGAAGCTTTGGTTCCAAATAATTGAACACCATCAGATCTTCAAGACACATTGTTACTTTAATTATTGGGGATATTGGCAAAGTTTGATTTCTAAATAAATGAGAGATACAAACTATTTGGTGTTCTTTAGTTGTAAATTAAACTACAAAAGTGACCAGCCTACTTGTCCATGCCTATCTAGGCAGTTGTGATAGTGTTGCCCTAAAAGAAAATCAAAAGGTAGTGAAATCTGTGAGTTTATTTTATATACATGAAGAACTGAACTACTCTGTGTTGACTTCAGTTACAGAAGGAAGAGCCAAGCAATGAAGTATTGAACACAAGCAATGAAGCTAAAGAATAGGTTTCTGTGATGTGCTCAAGAAGCTCTCTGGTACCAGAATTCCCAGCATGTATGCTGTGCCTTTAGCATACTTTTTATGTGACAACCTGGTTTAGTCACTGGAAATGCTTCCTGAAGAATGGATTCTGGAATTACTACTAATATATGAACAGTATATTGTTCCTGTTGAACATGGTGCCCAGAAGTCAGGAGGCAATGTTTTTACAACTAGCTCTAAGTCACTTTTTCCCTCCTGAAGTGGATCATAGGTTCTGGTGTCATACTGGCTTGTCCTTCTTGGGAAGAATCTTTAGATTGTAGTGCATTCTGCAGTAAGGCACTTCACTCTGCTCTTGCTTCTGAGCTGTAGGGGTGGTTATGTGGCTTTTTTTCTTGGAGCTGGAGTTTCTATATCCTCTTGCTTTGTGCAGATACATCAACTAATGCTGCTTATGCTCCACACTGAAGACCTTCAGAAGATTGCATCAGACACCCTTGTACTTGCTTCTCTGTGTGACATTTTAATTTCTAATTATTAGGGCCTTTAATTTAAACAAATCAGACATAGAAACTATTGTGTTTTCTTGTAAATAAATGATGTACTTCCAACTCCAAATACAGTTTTGTGTGTGTGCTCTGATGTATGGGGTGTATGACTACCTCCTAAAGCTAAACACCAGACAACATTACATACAATTGTATTATAATATGTTCAGTATTAAATTTAACAAGTATAAATAAGGATGATTAACAATAGCTGCAGAAAATGCAAACACATTGCTGAAGCCAGGAGGAAGAAATTCTAGGGAAGTAGCTACATTAACCTGTTGTAGCAAAAGCAAAAAGGAAGTTGTATAGTACCTTTTAAGGCCAACTAGCTGATTATCCCATAAAAGCTTATGATATACAGTCTTCTTCATCAAATACAGATAAAGCATCACTTCATCTGATAAAAGATCTCTGGTTCACACCAGCAAATGAACTCCAAAACATCAGCCTAGTTTTGCTTAAGCCTACAGACCTTAATAGGGTACTAAATTAATTAGTTCATTTTGAAATAAGTTCAGTAAGTCAAAACACTTCCATAATTTTAGAAATATCTGTTCAAGAAGAACAGCTGTACAAGAGGCATTTTTGTGTTATACTGTGTTATATGCAATTCCTATGAGCCTAGCCAGAGCTACTTTAGTAGTTTCTGAAGGGAAGTGGGGTATAGGTCTAGCAAACTTTCCCAAGAATTCAAGATGCATGCTAAGCTGGAATGAGACTCAGTGGGGAAAGTGTATTTTTAAAACACTTTCTAAACAAAACACATAAAGCATCTAAGGTGGCTTTACTGTTTAACATGTGGGGAAGGAATTCAGATATGCTAGTTCTGTCTGATAGAAAAAGAAAGGGTGATGGCCTGTGGATTTAAACAATTTTAAACCTAAAATTGATTTTCCTTATATCATTTGAATTGAAGTCTGTATGGAAAATGGAATACTCCAGAAAGGTCAAACAATGAATTTTTAATATCCAAGTACCACAGAGGGGGTCTCTAATAAAATGTCAATGAGAGCTTTAAGGGTCAAACACATAATGTTGCATAAAGAATCTCCATGAACAGTTTATTAATCCCAGATTCAATGGGTTTCCATTTGTTTTTGAACAGCAGGGCCCAGAATAACTGCAGTGGATTCACGGCAAAAGCAGGGCTTGTCACGCTTTACAGAAGGCTTAAGACTTGCCTTTAATGCTACTACCGTAACTGAAAAGTGGCTGTCTTCATTAAAATTACTATTAGGACAATCCATTTGCACATTTTAGCTTTGAGCTGCAAGTGGATTTTCTTCATATTAAAATGCAACAAATAGGACATCTATACCAATGGCTGGAATCCTATACATAACTTATGTGAGAGTAAAATCCATTAATCCCAATTGGTTTTGCTTTTGTGTACATCTGCAATGTTTCATAATGGGATCTTGGACTATATGTCTGTTAACATGTAAGAATGTAATACTCTACATTTATACAATATCATAGTCTTCTACATTCAGCAGTAAAAGGAGATAGGAACATCGAACTCCATTATTGCACTAGGACCTCATGTATGCAGACCTTCTTCCCCCTGCTCCCATCCTATCATCACAGTCCTATGTTGAGTTCTTGTCAGATATTCAAAGCTGAGAGGACAAGCTTGGTAAAAGGAACACACTCATTAACTATTGTTTAATATGTACCATGATAACAAATACTTTAATGTAAATAAAATAAACAATAAAAGCTCCGGTTCATGCTGAAGGTTTTGCTTAATCTTGTAAAGGATCAATATTTGATTAAAGGAAAGAATGAGCTGTAGGCACGTAGAAACTTCACTTGGGTTCCTGTGTTAATTCCTGCACATACTGACCTCCTTGAGATTGTTGGTGCATAGCGGCATTCTCAATGCCATTCTGGGACTTCTGAATTCTGCTAAAAACTGTTCAGAAGTTCTTCTCTTTCAAATTTGAATACCATAATTTCAAGAATCTCAAGGTTCCCCCATTTTCTTCCCACAACAACTCTGTAAGGAAGGCTTTTTCATGGTTTAGTAAGTTCTGATTAAGTTATTTTCAGTGTAACTGTATGCCCTCACATCTACCAGGAAAAAGTAGAAAATTATGTAGATGAAAATGGCTTCATATACTTCAAGTACCTTTTTGATTCAGACTGCTCGATCCCCACTAAGTCAATGGCTTCTCTCCCTTTGCTTCTTACAAAATCTTCATTCAATCCAAATTGTTGCAAAGTGTCTCTATAGAGTCTTTGTGCCCCTTGACGGGCACCACACTATGGAATCAAACATGAAACATTTAGGAGATCTCCTTTTCATAAATATTTAACATTATTCAGTGTTCAAGGACCATTACATTCTTCTGCACTGGAAGCCACATTCTCTGCCTGAAGTGTTGTGTCTCCCTATACTATAGTGCGGGGGTCCCAACTTTTAAGCCTATTTCTGACTCAGCATGGTGAGTGTAGCCACAAAATGGCTGCCAAAAAATAGCTGCTGTGAGAGGTGGAGCCAGCCACAAAATGGCTGCTGCAGCTTACGTTCAGTCACATAGTGAAGATCCTTGTGCTATGGTGGCAGCTGCTGCCAAACCAATGTTTTTAAAAATCTGCACAACCAATCAAATTTCCAAGGACAATCAGAAGCCTTGCTAGCAAAAATTCCACCTGATCCTGCCCATTTTCTAAAAACACTTGGTAGGCACCAGGAAAGGTGTTGGCAGGTGCCATGGGGCCCAGAATCACCACGTGGGGTAACCCTGCTATAACGTGCACCTTGAATAATAAATAACTATAAGCCAGTTCTTTATTTTGTCCTCTTCCTTCCTACTCCCTGTTGATGCTTAATGTCAATGTGACTTGTGCTGCATCCTCACAGGGGCATGAAACAGCAACATGCAGTATGGGAACAATGTCTATCTCCCCCCCCCCTCACCACCACTTGCTGCTAACACCATTCCTCATTCCTCCCTCTTTTTCCACTGTACCTGCTCAAAAGTGCTGGCACAACAGCAATCCTACTGGGACCCTGTGGCTTAGATCCCCCTTTCCATACTGAGCCATGGTATAATGCTACTGTGAACCCCAGTAGGGAAAGGGAAAAATCTCTTTGTAGGATTGAAACTGAGGATTCAATGCTGAGTTTAGCACTGTTCCCCTCTCCAATGTGGCTACAGGAGACCTGAGTTTACAGATGAATGCTCCCCTCCTTTGGAGAAAATGGTTTATATTTTCTCTAAAGTAAGGAGGATGGAATGGGAGCCAGACAAATCAAGCACACATTGAACACAAGGTCATCTGGGTGCTCCCTTTTAGTGCGGGGGCTTCCCACTGTCCAAGCAGGGAAAAATTCCTGGGTAGAAGCTACACTGAATACTGATTGCATGACGATCTGGGGAATACTGCCTGTTTGATCCTTTATCCTTCCAAAATAACAGTCTTGTGACACCTTGAAAGACCATTGCGGCATAAGCTTCTGTGAACCAGAGCCCACTTCATCAGATTCATAATCTTGCCATCTCACTCATTCCAAAATAGTTACCTTTGTTACTTGTTCAAACAGATATGGTCTGTTTTTCACTCGCGTCTTCATATCTTCTAGTTCTTTTTCATACTCCTTTGTTCTCTTTCGGTCATTCTGCCTGAAATAAACATTTTCTTAGCATATTAGAAATTCTCCTGAATTCCTCACAGCCTGTTATTCATCACAATAGTACTCAAAGAGCAATCTTGCACCATGAACTGGTCTATCACTGAAACCAAAATTTATTAATCTTCCCTAATATGAGTTAACCATCTCTATTCTAAAGGAAACCAAACCTGTTCTTTTATTGTGTTCTATTCCCTGGAACTTCTCGCATTAGAAGAAAATGGGGTATGCATCACACTGGTGTCGATGGGACTTTGTTTTCTGGCTGAAATATCCCAACAACCACCTCAGCTTCAAGGAACCCAGTGAGGTGGAGGGCAGTGACCGAGAGAAGCCAGAAGACAGTTGAGCAACTAAAATGCTTCACCTGTAGAGTCAGTAGCTGAGGATCAAGGCTTTTCTAACCAGGAGCCAGCTAATAGTAATTAGATAGAAAAGCTGAAGTTGTTTACTTCATATACTGTATGAACAAAAGATAGTTTTCCCACATCTGTTGCACTGAAGCTTTTTTCTCTCTACTTGCTCTCCAGTCTCTGCACCAGGCAACTGCAGAATCAGAATAGAAAGAGCTCTAAAAGTCATATTTATAGCCCACTTTGTGCAGGATTCCATAAAGTTATCAATTATAGATATTCATCCAGTCTCTGTAAAATCTGGAGAAAAAGCAGTTCAGCTGCTTTTCTGAGTCAACTTGCTACACCACTCAGCTGTCTTACTGTCTAACCTAAATACATTTCTCTGCAACTTGATTTATGGCCACAGTAATAAGGTGCAGATTCATCATAAAAGATCTGAACTATTTTTCTGTTACAAAATACTGTTTTGCAAACGTGGTCCTTTGACTTCTAGTGCTAGTGATATGAATGAAGATTAAACAAATGATACAAGTATGACTGAGGACTGGAGCTCAATTCCATTCCACATGTTAAATTTCTAGTAATTCCAAATGTATGAAATATTTTGCTTTGAGGAACTTGGCATTTATGCAACATGGAACACTGACCAGTTTTGTTCTAGCTTTTCCTTATGAGTCTCATACAAGCTTTTATGAGGGTCCATAGCTTTCGCTCGATAATTCACGGACTTCTGCATAGCCTGACATTTCCTCTTCTGCTGCTCTGCCCAGCGAATGCCTTCATTTTCCTTGTACTTTTTATCTTGTTGGAGAGATCTGTAACAATGAACGTGGACAATGGAATCCTAGTTCATTCCAAAGTGAAGCTTAACCCCCCCCCCCAAAGAGGAGCCAAATCACATCTAAGTTAATGCAAGCATCAGGGGTCATTTCATAGAAAAAGAGGTGCAGGAGCTCATTAGCAAGTTTGCATATGCCACACCCCATGACATCACCAGAAGTGTGTCAGAAGGCAACACCCACCGCTCAGGCTCCACTGGACTGTTTTGGATTTCTAGCTGGAGGGGGGGGGAAGTGTGCAGATCTGCCCTCAGAAAGGAGGAAGAGCTTGTACACCGAATAAAACTTGGTCTTTGCCCCTGGACTGTTTTGGACTGGGAGGCCGGGGGGAGCTCTGCAACTTACCTGGCTGCTTCTTGCTCTGACTGAGGGCTGCTGGGAGCAGGGGGTGGGGCTTGTTGCATGTGCCCGCCCCCTGGGCTCTTTATTGCTGGAGCTCTGCTCCTGTGCGCTCCTGCAGGAAATGATCCCTGGCAAGCATTATTACTCACTTAATAGCAGATTCTCTTTTCCTCACTGCATCTGTAATGTAGACTGGAAGTGTGTTGGCGGAAAGAGAAGACAGACAAGTCAAGGAACGACTTCTTTGTATTGGAGTCTTGGAAGATTGCTGACAATCCTGTAAACAAGGATAGTAGCATTGCTTTGAAAAATTCTTGGACCATAATTAGTTGTAGGTGCTATACAAATAATACATTTTATATTATGGATATCAACATCTAAAAGCTAGTAGTTTGTGACTATGAATTTAGAGATTTTTTTTTGTCCTAAATGGCCTTTTGATCCTACAGTTAATACTGAGGAAGACATTCTCTCTAAAGCACTTTATGCATAATATGCATAATATGCTGCCACATATTTTGTTAGTCTTTAAGGTGCTACTGGACTTGTGCTCTTTTCTATAATATGCTGGATAGCCTTGTTTCCTTCCCTATGAGAGACAGCCCTGGAACATTTTTAGCATCATATGTTTGCTTTGATGTTTACATCTAATACTGGAAACACGTCCCTTTTCCTTTGATCATTTTCTCCCTAACAAATAATACATAGTGATTGAAGTATAACTACCGTGAGATTACGTTGGTGCTGTTAAGGCATTTCTCATTTTGATCTGTAACAAAGGCATTCCAGTAAGACTTAACTCTGCAAGCCCAAAGTACTCCAATTCTGTGTAAAGTCTAAATTTACAGAATAAATCCTTGGATTTATATATGAGACAGTAGAAGGTTGTTAAGGCTAAAAACAATTCTTTTTACCGGCATCTTCTGGTTAGTCATCTGATGTTTACAACGGAGATTAGATGTTCTTAATTTGAATGGTTTATTGTGAGTTGCTTCTTTGATTTCTCTTTTGTTTATTGCTTCCCTTTGGAATGCCCAGTAAAGTCCTTCAAAATCAGGCACTGATGTGTTAATTCTTGGTTTAAAACTGAAGTTGTCCTGCAGAAAGCTGAGCTTTTGCTCTCTGTTTCTGGAGGCAATTTGTGATTCTTTCCCCCTTTGTCTATTGCCAAGTTCAACGGGAGCCCAAGAGTTTTCCAGTAAATCCTTGGCTCTCATCTGAATACGGATTTTTCTGAATAATTCAGCTTCTGAGGATTAAAACAAAAAAGTAATAAAAATTCAGACAAGGTGAACGGATGTAAATCTGGCTACTGCCATAGCAGAAAATGGTGTACAAATCATATTGCAGAAAGCTCTTGGGTGAGCTGTCAGTTCCATTTTTTATTGGTTAAAAGAATTCACTGATTATTTCTTGCCCATCCCTCCCCATCCTGAATCTTACCAATGCAAAGCCAACACACTGGGGAATCTAATGCCCTGGTTTTCACAGTGCAACTGCTGATCAGTTAAGAGTTACAGTTTTGTCATTTTCTCTGACTGGTACTACTTGTTTTTTATATTAGAAAAGTACTAGCAGTTTGTCAAGATAGTTTTCTCCCCAATTAATGTTCTACTTAAATATTTGATATTTTTTTTGTAGTGGTGTTTCTCTTGCCACATATGGGGATGCACACATTCCCACTATTTCATATTTCTATGACAGTCTGACACAAAGTACTTTTCCGAGAGCTAAAGGTAAGAGCTTCACCTTTGAGTTTATCCCCAAACATTGGTTCGTGAATGGATCTGGAGATCGTCTTTCCGACTTTTGGTACTGATTTCTCAGCTGAAGCCAATATTTCCAGAACCTTCTGTCTGATGGCCTCCTTTCTCTTTTCTTCTTTTTCTTGAAAGCTGAAAGGTTTCTGTGTGGAAAGGAGCAGCTCCCTTCTCTTCTGCGTCTCCACTTGTCTCCGAATTTCATTTTTTTCCATGATTTCCTGGTAGAGTGGAAGATAGACATGGGCAGGCACAGGTTGTGCTCTGAACTGTTTTTGGCATTCAGCTTCTTCTTGGCTTTGCTTCTTATATGTGTCTTTCTCAAGAACTGTGTGTGATTTTAACAACTGGGACTTCTTACGAGCTTCTCGAAGTGTCATTTTGAAGGGCTGGGGAACTGTGATAGAGGAGATCCATGCAGCAGAGGCACTCTTTGGTCTTGAAAAAAACTGAGGAAATGAATGACGGGTTTGCTCATTGGTTGGGCCATCTGTACCAAGGTCAGTCAAAGAGCTGTAGTGTCTTATGTTACCAGATCTGAAGATAGAGTAAAAATATCAAAGACATAAGGGGGAGAGGTTATATCTGAGAACATTTTATTTTAAGTGAATGACATTTAGACACTTGTAAAAAAGACTAGCATCTGAGCCTGACTGCATTATTAGCCTTGCTATGTAATAATTGTAGTTGTGTAAAAATCCCAGAGGGGTAGCCATGTTAAAACAGCTCACACGTCTAGTAATTTTTCCTACAAAAACATGAAATATGATTTCCTCTTCATAGCATCTGAAGTAGTCAGCTCTGACTCATGAAAGGTCATGACGGAATAAGTGTTATTCATCTTTAAGGTGCCACTGGACTTATGTAAAATGTCATGTTATAAAGGGAGTTATGATATGAATCGCACCTTCAGCTCCACAACTGCATGCAAATCCCTCAGAAAAATAAGAGGCTCTACTATGTCTTACTTCAGAGCTTCATGGTACGTTCTTGGCACTGTCAATCTTCCATTATCCTGGAAAAAGTCTTCCAACTCCTTGACATCTGTGGATAGCTTGTGGCTGTTCTCCAGTTTTACCTGGTACATCAAACCTAGTTCTAGTAAGCATTGCTTTTTTTTTCTTTGGAGAGTTTGCAGGGAATCATAAAATCCTGAACTTGAAGTAGTTATTATATCTTCATCTGGCTGAAGAAACTCCAGAAGCTCACTTCTTCTGGATACAGCAGCAGTGCTACCCTGTGGGGCGTCTTCTGATTCTGACTCTGCTTTAACTGGAAACACCTAAAGAAATCAGAAAGGCAAAACAAAGGCTTCAGAATCCTCCATCTCAAATATATGGCTTACTTCGTGGATATAATGACCCAGCTCTGAACTGATTCAGCCAACTCCCATTTACCAATAACCAATTTGGGGATGTGAGTTGACCCAGTTCCAAGGCTGCAAGGCAATACATGCACTTACTTGTGAGTAAGGCTCCTTGAGCTCGGCGAGATTTCCCTTCTGGGCTGAGCAGTCACATGGACTGAACACCCCTAGAAGATCAGGATATAGTGAGCTTTTACAGGCATCTCTCGGGGCTTGGAATCGACTTAAAACTTACCTGGTCTCTCCATATTCACCATTGCAGACGTTTTTGGGCCAGAGTTGGTTTTGTCCAGGGGAAGATCCTTCGGCTTATCGCTGCTGGAGAAAGCAAGGCCTTACCAGATTTTGTGACATCATGGCCAGGGGCTGCCTATATACTCAGCAAGAAATAGAACACAAGCTACAGGGACGGGTATCCTGGTTTGAATACGAACAAGTTAAACACTTAATATGCCATGACTCACATACCCCTCCGCCGGACACAATTTTACGCCCGTTTGAAGACCTTATGGTGGCTCAGTCGTTACCTAACAGGGTACTGGTATCGAAAGTTTACTATCTTCTCAATTTTCAACTTAAAGAGGATCAGGCCGGATATCAAATAAAATGGCATAGAGCTATTGGTCAGGTGCTTACCTCCGAACAGTGGACTGCGATCTGGTCCTCTCCTCTTTGCTGCTCCCGTTCCACCAATATTCAAATGTTAACCTATAAACTTCTATTTCGATGGTACCTGACCCCACATCAGCTGCATGGCATCAACCCCGCGATCCCTGAGAGATGTTGGGAAAACTGTAGCAGCCGGGGCACCTATATTCATTTTTGGTGGGAGTGTCCCAAGGTGGGAGTGTCTGGAGAGAAGTTAACGCCCAAATATTTCTAATTACAGGTTGCGCCCTCCAACTGCAACCCTCCTTGTTCCTCCTGAATTATTGGAGCCATCCCGCCCCCAATGGGCTTATGAAAGAGCTAATAGAATTATGTCTTGCGGCTGCTAGGAATGTTATAGCATTTCATTGAAAATCTAAGAAGACGCTGCTACTGAGCGATTGGTATCTGAAGTTGTGGGACTTTCTTCTACAGGACAAAGTTTCCACTAGTATCCTTCGATCTGAAAATCAACCTGTCCCTGACAACCTCCAAGAAAAATGGATGCCCCTCTTAGAAGCGTCAGCAGCACATAAAATCGACACTTCCCTGTTTGCTCTGCATAAACATCAGGATTTGCTTTCCTATTTTTAACTTTTCTTTTAAATTTTAAGTAAATTAAAAAAACTCTTTAAAAAAACACATGGACTGAACACACCCTTCACAAACAGTTATGGTTACAGGTCTATGCTGCGATGGCAGGCACGCGTCATCCATCAGTTCCTTTGAGTGCTGCCACCTCC